AGTGAAAGAGTAATGAAGTGACTTGCCAAAAGTAACGCAGAGTGTCTGTGGCAGAGCTGGGACTTGAATCTCATGATGTAACCACATAGCCGGACTTCCACCCCTGCTCAGCACCACAAAACTGATCATTTTTTTAAGGGACTAAAATACTTGGAAAACTTTTAAACCCTTCCAAAACAGTTGCCAATTTTGTCTTATGTACTGGTAGCTAAACCACTGGGTAATTTCCAACTGGAGGGGTGCTGAATCTAATCCTCAGTAAACATTTGACTACAGAATAATAAAAAGGGATGTGGAAAAATAGGGGTTAAAAATAAGTAAGGGGAAATGGCCCTCGCTGCAGAGCCACATTTTAGAGTGTGATTTTTGTTATAAGTGGTTATGTCTAATGAAGTATCAGGCACCCATCATTGTGGAGGCAAAAGCTCAAAAGGTTATATGCAAAGGAGCAGCAAAAATTAACCTTTCAGCAATGAATAGGCTTATGTAGTTCCAAGACCTGCTTCAGTAAGGAGAAGAAAAATGACCTCGAGATCAAAGCTTCTTAAAAACACCCAAAATGCAGGTGCTCGGGGAAGTTTGGAGAGAGAAAAAAGCAGAACAAAATGTTTACGCTTCAGCAACTGCTACATGACGGCTTCTCACAGTGACACGTAGTCACGGGGAAATGTTTCCCTGGGGTCAATCTGATAACCAATCTGCCTTTTTTAGCAAGCCCAGATTTCAAAGGCTGTGCAGACCCAGAAGGTCACTCTAACCAGCCCTGCCATGCATCTACTTCACTGTTATTTGCAATCCCGTAGACAGAGCTGCACCGTAAGCCTTTTCCTGAACGGCTGGGACGCACCCATCCGCACAGCGTACGTCCTCACCTTGCAGAAGTCCCATGAGGAATCTGGAGGCAGTCATAAAAATCAGGTGGGCCGAACTGACATAGGTGAGCAGCGGGGTGACGGCAGTGATGAAACCCCAGGCGGAGGCAGAGAGGAGGAGGACTTTTTCTCCTCCTATCCTGAAAGACAGGCAAGCATTACACGAGGAGGGAACACGGGCACAGGATAGGGTTAGGGCAGCGTGCAGCAGGGCAACATGCATGACGCCCAGTGCAGGGCTGGGAAGTCCAACTACATAGAGTGGGAGCAGGGGTATCGGAGAAATCCCCATTTGTTTCCAGCAGCAGTTGCACACAGTCGGGATGAAAGACGGCATTCCAGCTTGCACTGCTTGGGACCAATGATTATTCATTTATAGTGCCTAAGTAGCATGGGTGCTAAATGCAGGCCACAATAGGCAGGTTCTTTGGGTAAATGTGATATCTTTTATTAGACCAACTCAAGTAGTTGGAAAAATTCTTCTTCGCAAGCATTTGGGTATCAATACCATTCGTCTGGCTGAGGAAGCATCCGCAATTGGTGCGTGCTCCTCCTGGATGCAATGAATAGCAAAGAAGCATTTTCCCAACTATTTAGTTGGTCTAATAAAAGATAGCAGCTTTACCGAAAGAACCTTGTCTGCCTATGTCCTTCGACCAACACGGCTCCAATCTACACCCCGGCCACATGAGAAGCACAAAAAGGACCCAGAGGCCAATATCAGATAGAAACAAGGATGGCTTCAGCTGGGAGTTTAAAGCAGGTGGAGTTTAAAGCAGGAGACAGCAGCTCACAAGCAGGGCAGAGATTCCCATCAGGGAATCCCACCCCCAGCCAGGATCCATTTAGCAATGTAAGGAGGAGGCAGTCATGAGTGCATGGTTGAGAAACTCCGGTGCAGTGGAAATTCATGTCGTTGGCCCCGCTCTGTTTTCTTAGCGGATAACAGCATTCACTGTTTCATCTGCCTTAGCATCAGCGCTGCTTGTCTGTTAACATTAGTTTCTTAGAGACACCGTGGTTGCAGACTCTATTAAAGAACATAATGAAACAGCACAGGGCACTGCACAGATAATGGCTTTCTCCAGGCATGTGTTTCTTGCACGAGAATTTACGGGAAAGTCTTCCTCTTCGACGATACTGCAGTTCAGGAAAGGAACTCAAGCAGGTAATTACTAGGATCCCCACCATACAGTTGACTGGGTTTGAGGCTTTTCTTTTGAATGTCATTAACCCACTCAAACAATGCATCACATCCTTCACCCAGACATGACTGGGCGGTGAACAAGCACAGATGTGTGAGGATCTGTGCAGAAATCTTGGGGGGGTGGAAAGGGTCAGAGGGGCTTCAATGAAGAGGAAGGCAGCAGATCTGCAGATGAGATACGGAGCTATTTCCTTGCATGGCAGGGAACATTGCCTTCTCTGGTTGGCTATGAACCGTCTGAAAGTTGCTATCTACACAAGCCCAGTGCTTAACCTTTGGAGAGATGCTTAACCACTTGCGAGCAGCAGATGTGGATCGTGCAACAAGGTTTGCTGCATCTAAGCCATGATCCAAACCACCCGTGAGACAGCCAAAATCTATTGAAATCAATGGAAGGACACCGACTGAGTTACTAGAGTTCGGATCCATCCCAGAAAGCTTTCCTGCCGCTCCACACAGGCCGCCTCTGGGACTAGAAGGAGCATAGCTATGTCCACAGGGCACAATAAGCAGGGTAACCAGCAGCACTGAGTGACAGGCCCAGTTAGCTCACAACCCCCCCTTAATTAGCCTGCTAAAAGCACCATACAGATGTGGTTACACTGCTTCTAGTTCTGGAGGCAGCTGTGTTGTGCTTGAGTCCTCTGCCAGGGGCTGTCATTTGGTGGACTAGATGTGGCCAGTGCGCTTTGGAGTTCATTTTTCAGCCCTCTTCCCCTCCAAGGGGCTAGTGATAAGATTAAAATAGGGAAGGGTAAGACACAAGGCAAGGGGTTAGACAGAAGGGAAGGGGGGGTAGACACAATAAGCACTTGCCAAGAGTTTTTATTGAAAGCCCTGAGCAAGGGATAATAGATGAGAAATTTCCAGTACCGATCACTGAGATGCCCGCCTACAATCTGAGTCAAGCAGTAGCCCCAGAAGAAGCTACTCAGGACGATGCCAGACTGCTTCTTGTCCCATTCAAAGTGACTACTCATGGCCACGGCACAGATGGGCATGGTCACCCTGGCACAGTACAGGAGGCAAGTCCCCAGCAGTAACATCACAGTCCAGGTTCGAGATTCAGGCCTGCAAGGGTCAAGAGAGAGACAGGGAAATAAATGAACCTTAAAGCTGACCGGATGACGATTCCTGTTTCACAATACAGATACACGGGTCAGGCGGGTTTTGTTGCATGCCTTTGCAAGTCAGACAGGTCTATTTTCAAAGAGCTAAAGGTCACAGCAATGGCAGCTTCACACTCTGACACTGATGCTCCAAGCACCTGCCTTAACCTAAATCCAATAGTGGGAGGAATCCCTTGTTTAAGTGTTTCCATAGCAATGATCACAGCATTTGAGATAGATGAATTAGCCCAGGTTGTAGTCTGTGAATTTGAGCACACATCACTTCATTGGCTGCTTCCACAGTCAATACTATTAGAAACTGTTCTTAAAATTTTAAAGTTAAATGAAAAGTTTGCATTCCAAGGCGGCAGATCTGAGGTTCCCTGTCCTGGCAATGTGTTGATCTAGCTGAGAAAGGGAGCGGTGATTCAGGCTTAAGTACTTTATTACACCACCCAACTAGAAGGGAGGTGGAAATAACTTCTTAGTGAGAGAGATAACACAGGGTGTGGGCTCATCAGTCCAGAGGGAGGAAGAAACAGGCCAGGACACACACCTGGTAGGACTTGGTTAACATGTTATTATTAGTGTTTATATTAAGAATACCAGCCCCGCTGAAGAGGTGAACTGGGCTCTGCGCAGGGTTTGGTCTGGATTTTGGAGTAGATTGGAAATGACATCTTTGCTTCTGAAGAATACTTCTGCAGCAAAGACAAAGCTCTCCCTGCAAATGTAGGGCCCAGTTGCGAAATGTGCAACATGTGGGTTGGATCCCTGTGCTTTGGTGTAGCCACTGACTTCAGCCTGGGTCACTCTCTGTGCTGTAAACTGGAGAGGAAGTGAATGCCTTATAGGATGGAGAATTAATCATTATTTATTGCTAGGATAGTGCCCCACCCCAGGGACTGGACACTGTACAGATGTGTGACAAATATTAAGAATATATCATACCTGGGCATTAAGCCATCATGCTTTCCAACCTCATAAATATGTCATCTTTCTCTATTCAAAATGACTTTGTCTAGCTTTCTTATTAAAAAAAGAGTGTTTTATTTTTCTTCCACTAGATATGAGAACAAATCTCAATAGATACGAGAGTCTAGTTATCCCAAAACAGAACCAAACCATTTACAAATTTGCTAAAGAGCCCTGGTATAGAAAGACAGGGAAAAAAAAGAACAGTAAAACATGCCAGACTCCTGTACCCACTGGAAATATAATTGATGATTTGTTTCCTGAAAGGGTGGGTGAGGAGCTCCATGCCAAGTTTTAGCAGGAGTTACTGGCAGTCTTTCACCCTGTGCTTTGGAAGCTTTCTCCCTACACACATACACGTGCACACACACATGCACGCACAGACACACACATGCACACACAGACACACACGCTAACTGAAAAAGTTGCATGGCCTTGCCTATTAACCAACTTGCAGCCTGCCTTACTGACTTAACTAACCTCAACAGTGACAAAGGCTTTTTAAGCACTTTTCAAAGCTGATGTTAGAAGGAGCCAAGGCAGCAGTGAAAGTTGCATTTTCTCACCAAGCCAACGACAATCTTCTATTAACCTGCAAGTAAAACCACTTCCCCCCAACCCTGGTGCTACATCGGAAATCTCTGAGAGAAGCTGCTCTGACCTAGATCTGCTTTAGCGCTACAAAAACTATTAGGGAAACTAGTCCAAATGCAGGTTTGAACCATTGGGTCTGACCATAAAAGGCAGGATATTGAGGCTGGGGCTACAAAATGTAGTGCTTTTAAAAACAAGCTACTTTATGGACCACATGATGAAAAGATCCTCGTTTGACTGGTTCTTCTTTAAGAGAAAATAAACCTGACTCCATCCTGTATCATCATCACAAGGCAGCAAAATGCTACCAGTCTTATTCAGTAGGGATTTCCCCCTGTTTGCATAGAAGCAAGTGACTCTTATGTATCTCTCCTAACCACTTTCCTGCCATTGCTGGCCTTTGGACATACAACAGTTAAGTCTCCTAAGGACTGCTATAGTCAAACCCAAGTTACTGGGCTCAGTATGGATGTAACGCATACAACATAGTGGTCTCTGCTTTACAGGAGGGTAGATCAGATGATCTAGTAGTTTCTTCTGATCTTAAATTCTGTGAAGCTGTGTGAGGTGCAAGGCACAGGAGAAGCATTCCCAGAGTGCTAAGTTATTCTTTATAATATTGCTACATGCTGCTGAACTCTCTTAAGTCTTTGGATTGTGGAAGCGCGAGGTCCTTGCACTCTACTGAGAGCACAGGTGGAAGATGCACATGGGGTTAGGTGTTGGTAGCTAGTTCACAATTCAAAGAAGCCAATGGACAGACCTCCTGAGGCTTCTCTGGCTTTGGGTCAGGCTCAGAGAGAAGTCAGGGCTTATACTATGCATGCAAAGCTTCCTAGAGCACCTTACCCCTACTTTGCACTGATGCAAATGGCTGTACAAGTCATTGGAGAATCAGACCCAGATGTAGGCAAGGAATGTGATCCTCAGCAGGCCAAGGAGCTGGCTTACAACCTTCCCTCTTCAGCCTGATTCTGCAATTAAATAGCAACAACGAGGTACATGGACGGCAGCCCTCTTATTACCAGTGACTCAGCTTCCTGTGTCTGCCTGTCTTACCCTTGATTCATGCATGTAACACTGCACAGGTAACCTGCTGGACAGTCCTACAGCGTTGCAGGTGCAGATGGAAGAAGAAAGGAAAACAGAAGAGTGAGGAAGGATGGTGCCGTGGTCTGGGTACTGGTCTGGGGGAGACTGGTTTAATCCTCAGCTCTGTAAAAAACTCCTGGTGTTTCTTTGGGCAAGCCACTAAAAACCTCTGTTTCTTATGGTTGTAAATGAACTTTTCTTTCTTTTCCATTTCAATTATATGTTTTTAGGGACAAGAGCTCTCTCTTAGTGGGTATCTGTGGATGGCCTGGCCCAGGGGAACCCCAACACCTGCTGGCTGCCTGTAATAGAAATACTGAATAATACAGGTCTCTTTTTTTCCACACTTCCCTTTCCCACTGGATTTTAGACCAAATTCAATGAACAGTTTCTGCTGAGTTTGTTTTAAACTCTTTTAAAATAAATAAATGGCAGATTAGCTCACGAGACCAGAATAGTTTTTATGGTTATTCGGCTTACCCCTATTTATTTTGATTTTTTTTAAGTATATAGCCATAGACAGAGGCAGAAATCCAGTGGAGGAATACAAAGATGACTCCAGAACAGTACTTGCTTCTTAAGCAACCTCTCCAGCCAGAAAATCCACCAACATAAAATATGGAGCGCCAACTATAATTCATCACTCACTGCCCACACCCATCTGAAGCACCCTGCAAGGACAGGGATGTGCTTACATCAGAGGAAAGAGCATTGCCAACGCATTTTCTCCTAATTATAGTTATCATAGCAGCGGCAGATGAGTCAATGCTCTGCCCAGTTCAGAACAGCAACAGGCCAGATTGTTATAGGAAATCTCTGCTGGCTTTATGGGGACACACAAAAACTTTATGCCATCATTCGTTGGGAAAAATCTGTGCATGTCCATCACGTTGTTCATCTGATCAGCCAAAGGGGCTTTACAGATATTAGTAAGTCTCCCTCGTTTGATAAGCAAATACAATGTATGTGTTGTAGAGAAGTCCCAAAAAGGCAGATCTAGAAGTGACTTGCCAAAGCCACTACGTGGCCAAGTGGGAACGAATCCTCAGTTTTTGACTCCCTGCCCCATGCTCTGTTGACTCTTCGGTCCCTTGCTCTCTGTAGGAGTCGGGGAGGTGCTGGGAGCGACGGGCAGGCAGCAGCGCCAGATCCTGAAGTGTCTTCAATCTCTGACTTCAGCAAAAAATGAGGGGAAATCTATCTGCTCTGGAAAGGAACTAGATGCAAGTCAAGCAAGCCTTGCCTGGGTGAAAGCTTAGCTCCTCAAAATTGCAGGGCGATCCCAAATGTGAAATAAAATGCCACAGCTTCAGCACTTTGGGGCATTATCAGGGGCACGTGTATACGGAAAGGAAGTTCATTTGGTGGAAAGCAATATCTAGATGCTCATTCAGACGCACCGATGTTGGAGCAGCTGTTACCCACCCCGGCGCTGATTTGGTTTGCCGACTCCAGCTGCCAGATCTGATCCCCTCGGGTCTTCTCCCTGTAACACAGACTTGTCACCTATAAAGCAGTCCCAGCTCTCAGGCTGGTAGCAGCGCAGCTTGGAAGTGTCCAGTCCTTTCCCAACAAGCCGAATACTTTAGGTGAAAGCAAACCCGGCTCTCAATGTTTGTATCAGCCGATGGAGGTGCTTATCGATTCCTTAGGATGACTCAGAGCCTCCCAGGGCAAAAATTACCGGTGTTTCGTGTGAGTCCAAAGAAAGCCAGCAACAGAGCGCCTCTTCTATTTTCAACGTGTTTTCGTGCCGGAGGAATTTCTCCAGTAGCTGACACCGAGCAAATATTTGCTCAACTTTATTTCTCTTCGCTTGGCCGTATTCCTTTCCCTCCCTTTGCGATTCTGCCTGTTTACAGCCATTTCAGGCCACTTTTCAAATGGACTAGAGGGAGGTCAAGCTATCGTGAGACTGCAATTACTACTGGAGCCAGAGTTGTGTACGTGCATATCATTTTAGGAGGACAAAGAGTGGTATTTAGACATCAAGGCTAAGAACAGGCTCCTTCACCTACATGGCCAGCCACCTTAGACAATTGCTGCTTGTTTTTCTAACAAGGGGTTACAGTAGCAGGAAGCATAAACCCAAGTCTTAGCCCCTGGGAAGGTTGCTTGGTGAAGCCACGCAGACTGGATTTGCACTCAAGAGATTCATCACCAAAGTAATGGTCCATGTGGGCCATTGCAACATGGGACTGCAGTGTCTTTTTTTTCCCAGTGCTAAGAACCAAGCAGAATTTGTCGGTGTTGCTGCTGGGAGAGAAGGAAGGGCCGCGGGGTAAGGGAAGCACCGGAAAGTTACCTGAAAGTTTGGGAAGGGCAGCTGGAGAAGTAGGACAAAATGCACGAGAAGAACTGCGGAAGGGAGGTAAAAAATACACTGAAGAAATGACAAACAAAAGCAGCAGCATTAAGAGGAGGACAAAGACAGGAAAAAACCCCAAAGCTGCAAAGATAAGTGGTTATCTCGCTCCCTGCACTTGAGCTGCAGGAAGGTTTTGGGTAGATGCCTGGCATGTCTTCTGTTTCGGTCTGAAAAGAAAATCTATGTCCCTTTCCTCAATTCATAATCCTTATCTCTGTGTGACAGAAACTCATTCATTTGGGCGAGGAGTTCAATCCGCAGCGTGGTGTTGGCTTGTTTCTATCTCTTATTTTAAAACCTCTGTACAACACATTTGACAGCACCCATCTGTGCAGAGCACCAGCAGATCCCGCTACAGGGACCTGCTGCGACCGGCCGAGAGACTTCCCTTTCCTGCCCATCTGTTTCCTTTCCCGCTCTAGTCTTGTTTGCTTCGAAGGTGAGCTCTCCGAGGCAGGTGACATATCGGTGCGTGTGCACGTAGGGACAGACATTACACAAAACCCGGTATAAGCGACTGGAAACCGGTACAAATCTGTAATCCGACAAAGTTCAGTGCACGTAAACCGCTTTCAACAAATGGCCCAAACTGGCTTGAGATAAACCTGGATGGATGTAATGTCAGACTTCACTGATTTAGGTTAAATCAGTTTATTGAACTTCTGTCCAAGATCTCCTCCAAATTCAAGTAAACTCACAGTTACCCAGCATCCCAGAATGCTTTGCACCTTCCCTGCAAACCCCCTGCACCCCACAGGGTGGGTGGGCTAGACTTGGCCCAAGGGGTCTGCTCTAGCGCCCCCCGGCTTCTGGCCTGGGCCTCTGCAGGCATGTGGCTGCATTTCCTGAATCAAAAGTGAATGTCTGTTCACTTGCTTATGGGGTCAATCTACACCGCTTAGACCAGGGGTGGGCAAGATGTGGCCCGCGGGCCGGATGCAACCTGCCAGGCCATTCTATCTGGTCCATGGGACCCCTAAAAAATTTAGAAAGTTAATATTTATCTGCCCCTGGCTGCCTTGCCAAAACTCAGTAAGCGGCCCTCCGCCTGAAATAATTGCCCGCCCCTGGCTTAGACTAACCTGTGGAGATTGAACCTTGGTCTTTTTTACTGTACTTAGCCACAGTGCCGGGCACAACTGCGCCAAGATCTTCTTGGGGAAGAAGAATATTCAGTAAAAGCCGTTGGAAACTTTTCATCAGTAGTTTTTTTTCCTCCTGATTTTGACTGAAAACAATCAACTAAGCTCTCCTGCCAACTGATTATTTCTGTTCTCTTAGTAGCTCTCTCAGAAGGCTGATCAAAACCTCATTAAATAACTAGACTCCAACCAACCAACCAAAAACCTAGACTCATCAAACCAGATTTTCAAATGTATTTAGCTGCCTGACACCCACAGATTTCCCAACACCTCTGGGCTCTAGCAAGTGAACAGAGCCGTTGTACTGTGTGGGGTAGGGAAGGTTTTAGATTCAGCTGCTCTTCACAAGGCAGGAGACGAGCCACCTCTTTCCCCCCGTATGCACCGACACTCGTGCATTCATTGTTTACTAAGAATCACACGTCTTTTTGAAATAAGAATACAAATTCCCACCACCAGGAGATTTCGGTTTTGCAAGACATCTACCGATTAGGCATAGCTCTTATCAGCCCCAAGCATCTCACTGTTAGCCAAATAACTCTCACAGCAATCAGCTAAGTCACTGGAACAGCTGCAAACTGATGCCAAAAAGTGAACTGGACTCACACCGCAGAGAAAGTCACTTTGTCATTAGATGTTAGAACATGGTATTGCTTTGCCTCCTAAAACTGTGCTCACACCACAAGAGCGCCCTGAATGTATATACGTTACTGTTGTTAAAAACATTCATTTTTGCTTCGTTACCCAGGCCCGGATTATTAGTTACAGAGTCTCAGACAAGATAAATGAATAGTAGTGGCAGTAGTCGTCTTTTGAGCCCATCTAGAGACGGCCATCAAGAAGCTGGTACCTCTTGTGATAGAAAACATACAACCTCCACGTGGCACAAGATTTATACAACTAGGCTCTTTCACAATATTTGAGCCAGTTGTTCAATATTACGTACACGTGGAGCAAAATACAAAACTACCAGGGATATGTGTAATGCTTCCCAAATCAACTCAGGTTCGAACGAAAACTACCAGTGCAGCAGAATTCCCTGCTAATTAATACTGAGCAGTGATACCTTTCTCAAACATGATTTTCTTAGAGGGGTCTAGCTTTAAGCACTTACAATCGACACCCCACTGAGGACATTCAGCACAGATACACGGCTGGGGGCAGGAAACAGCTGTCTACTTTTTTCTTTTAAGTTACTCTTCTTTTTTTTTTTTTATTTGGAGGAACAACTATTGTGCTGTCTGCATTAAATCTTAATCAGCTACTATTGCCAGTGTAAACATAATTACTAAGACATTTTATTAAAAAGCTCATAATGGCTTAAATGACATGCAGGGCAAACTAAATATAGATCCATCATGACTCAACTCTTTGCATTGTACATGTAAGTGTTGCATTTTCTTTCTCTGTCAAGTAGTTCGGCACTATCTTTACTATTAACATACCGCCTGATTGAAACAGCAGTGATTTATAAGGAAGGCAGCTTGTGTCCATCTTAGACCCATCACCACAGGCGTAGAGGAGCTCACCAGCTGGGTTAGGATAAGTCTTCTAACACCCCAGGGGGATAGGCAGCACTAGCATCTCCTCCGTATAGTGGGAGAACTGAGGCACAGAGCGAATAAGTGACTTGCCCAAGGTCACATAGGAAGTCTGTGGCAAAGCAGAGAGCTGCACACAGGTCTCCTGAGAAGCAAGCCAGCACCCTCCCACCTAGCCTCTCTGTACAAAGTGACACCCTCCCCTCCAAAGTGACTCTCCCTATGCCTGAAGAAGGGCGTTTGTGCCCGAAAGCTCTCACAGACCAAGTTTTCCAACTATTTAGTTGCTCTAATCAAAGAGATCCCATTTACCCAAAGAACCTTGTCTGCCACCCTCCTTTTTAGGGGTGTAGGTTGTAGCCGTGTCGGTCTAAGGACACAGGTAAATCTGAAACCTTTTATTAAACCAACTCAAACAGTTGGAACAATTCTTCTTAGCAAGCGTCTCTTCCCCTCCCTTTTACACGCTCCAGCGGGTAGGTTCAGCTCCCCACCAAACCCCTCGAGCTCGGGGGCTTGCCAAAACTTCTCAGCGTCCCAAGAAGAAAACTGCCAAAGCCCCGCATCTTACCTGGACCAGTAGCAATCTGCATTCCCATCTTTTCTCGTGCCTTCCTGACAGGGAGGCTTCCCAGGCTGCTGGGGGTGGCAGTGGTGCAAAGAGCCATACACCTGGAGAGCATTTTTGCTGCCACTCGAGGCCATTCAAAGATCTGTAACTGGGTTTTTGAGTGGCAGGGCTCGGCCGGCTGGCTGCTGCAGCTGCAGAAGAAGGATGCTGGCCGGGGGGATGCTGGCACAAAGGCTGGAGAAGTCCCCGGAGCAACAGGCGGGTTTCAGGCCGAGGAGGGCAGGCGGGGGGCAGCGGAGGGAGGTCCCATGGCAGCGATCTGCGGGGGATTTTGTGCAATACAAAGTCCACGTGTCAGTTTGCAGCGGCTCTTCCTGGTGGAGCTCTTCCAGGAAGCGGCTGCAGCCCGGGGGCAGGACGTCTGCAAGCCGGGCTGCGCTCCCAGGGCTGGGGCACGGGTCCTGCGGGCGTCTCCCCGCAAGGGATGCAGCGCTGGGACCCGGGCCTTTGGGAGGAGCAGAAACAAAGCAAGGCAGGAGGGGGTGGAAAGCCATCCATCCCCTTTCGCAGTGGCATTCCCCCCCCCAAAAAAGACCAATTTTCCCAACTATTTAGTGGGTCTAATCAAAGAGATCACATTTACCCAAAGAACCCAAGGAAGGGGATGGGTGGCTGCAGACAAGCAGGAGCCAGGAAGGAAGTGACTTCAACCTGCCTGCCCAGAGAGATCCAGCAGTGCCGGGAGAGGTGCTCGCAGGTGCTGAAGCTGCACAGATGAGCCGGATCCTGCAAGGTGGAAAGACCAAGCCTGGGCTGGGTGCCTGGCACTTCAGAGGATCGGCCCCGTGCAGCACAGATGGGTTTGAATGTCTGCAAGGCAAATAGGTGAGCGATCCCAATCATGCTCCTAGGAACCTCCTCCAAATGGCATTATGTTTGGGGAAGAGATTTGTGTTGCCAGCACTGAGTCGCTGGACCTGATATCGCCTGCGGACGGCTGCCTGACTCTTGGCTCCCAAAACCGATGCTTAGTAAGGGCCCAGTGCCAGGTTATGACATGCTGAGGTCTTAGACTATGTCCCCCATCTGATAAAAATAATCCAATGTATGCATATTTTTGTCACATTAAAATGAAAACATCCATAGAGAGTCGTTCTCCCATATCTCCTTTATCTACCAACTGATTATTATAAAACTTGGTATTGAGTCAGGGTTGGGTTTTTTTCTTATTTAGTGGCCGCTCATATTCATTCATAGATTCATAGATGTTATGGGCTGGAAGGGACCTTGCAGATCATCGGGTCCAGCCCGATATTGTGAGGCCCTAAACTGTATCTTAAGTAGTTTAAGCCTAAATCCAGCACTGTAAGGGCCTGAGATCTGGCGGTGATCAGAAGAAATGCTGCAAGGACATATTGAAGTCAGATCTCAAGAAAATGCATGCCTGTGTCAAGACTTGGGAGGACCTGGCTGCCAACCGACTCTGATGGTGCTGCTACCTCAACCAAGCAAGCATCTCACCCACGAAGCAGAGAAGAGAAAGTGGAGGAAGGAAAAGGAGAGAAATCCTAGGCCATGGCTTACCCCCACTGCAGAAAGACCTGCAATTTCTGCGGCTGTGGCTGCAGCTCAAGGATTAGACCCTTAAGTCACCTCAAGACCCATCAATGAGCCATGGTAGAGATCCTTCTTGAATCGAAGGATTGCCCACAACGCCAAGGAAGAGGGAGTCTAAAGCTGCCTTCCATACTCAGCCTCTGTTCCCTAGTGCTGCCGGTCCAAAATAGATCCCCAAAGATCTTGTGACTTAAGCCTTAAGGCTGCTGATTTTTTTTCAAAGGGATCTGGGGCTGCCAAACTCAGAGCAGTTCCTCCCCACAACAGCAAGAGCCATAACCCGTAGAAGGAATTACAATTGCACACCTGAGGACAGGCTAGTGATCCAGGCTGACTTGGATAGACTTCCTGCACCTGGGGCAGGGGGCCGGACTTGATGATCTTCGAGGTCCCTTCCAGCCCTAATGTCTATGAATCGATTAACCTATTTGTAGCCATTCTTCGATTACGACAACCCCATTTCCACCCATCTCAGGGCAGTGCCTACCTTCGGTGCTCTCAGTTACTGAGATTCCTGTTTGTGGGTTGACATTAGCACGTCCATTTGGAAAGGCACCTGCATGCATTTCATCTTGGAAGTTGAAGCAAATGGTTCCTCAAGTTTCCAAGGGGGAAGGTAAAACAAAGGTGCAGGTGAACTCCACAACAGACAGCAGCTCTCAGACTAGGGGGATTCACTGCGGTTGGTTTAAATACAACTTAGCACCCAAAATAAAAAGAATGGAACATGCACGCATGCATGAGTGAGTGAGTGAATGGATTTGTACCCACTTTTATTTCAGTGAGGCTAGCTTGTTTAGTTCAGAGCATGCGGTCTTATTGGAAGGCTGGAGGACTGGAGTATTAAGATGGGTTCTAGGCTTCCAGTCTGCCATTAGACTCCTGTGTGGAAGCAAGGGGGTGAAATACCAAGTCTCTGAAGGCCAAACCCAGGGCCATGTCTCCACCCAAAGCAAAAGGATATGAGAGTCCCTTTAGGAAGCTGAACCATAAAGACAGAGGATCTTACTGAACAGCATTTTAGGCAGGGCTACATGTGTGGATAAGAAACTGCAGGGGAAGCTTATGGACGACTTGAACAAGCCTGGCACCTGAGTCTCGGGAAAGGCAAAAGTTGTTGGGGTGGGTCCACCGTAAAAGAAGCAGGATGCTACAAGCAAGCAAAGTCTCTCTGGCTTAATTTGTCTATGAAACCAGAGCTACACATGCCCCATGTAACCACACAAGGTTGCCTCAAGTACCCGATTCCTTCATTTAAAATGTAAAAACCCCTGAACTCTGACTAGCTGCTTGGGTTAAAAATATCACAGAGATGAGGTTTAGAGTTTGAGCACCTAAAAAAGGTGCTACGGTTAATGCTCAGAGACAACACCTACAGTGGAATATGCTACAAAAGGGTTGGTTTTGCTAGTTTTAATTCCTTCGGTAGCAATATTGAGGCAAGGGATGTACCAGACAACTCTCTTGAAAGGATGTTGACATAATACTTTGCATTACAGTAACTGGTGTGGTAATGATGAAGAGCGTACGGTAACAATTTTATTTTTTACAATGGTTTTGGGAGCATTACGTGACAGTTATGGGATTGGTAGCAGTAGGGAACGAATGAACTATTAACCACTGGGCAGAATCCTTATAATGATATTTAGATACTGTTCAAAGATGCTGATGGAGGGACTCGGTTTTTTCCAGAAGAGGGAGCTGTACCACGTAAGACAAGGTGATATCAAGAGTTTTATCAGTGATGGCAAAGGTTGGTACTTCTGAAAAACAACATGGGTTTGGGATGAATTCTAGGAGGGAAGAGAGTAAGCAAAAACCGGAAGATGCTACAAATTACATGCAAATACCCAAAGTTCAAAAGTGAGGTGTAAAAACTCAGACAGAGCTAGGGCAGGCTGCAAAAAACAATAATAATTTTGTAAGAAGAAATTTTTAAAGGGCTAGATCAATATTTACAGGAGAAACAAAGTACAAACAGCGCATATGAAGGTAGACAGGGCAGAAATTGAAAGGGCTAATACAGCAAAACCGATCTAGGCATTTATGTTAGACCCAAGCACCTCATCCACCCTACACATACGCTAGAATGGAAGCTGTTACTTTATTCAGCTTTTTCTAGCCTGTAATTAATCCCACATGAAAATTGTTAAGTCTTTTGTATACTTTCCATCCATTTTTTTTAAAGACATGCTTCAAGCATAGTTAGTCTTTCACTGGAAAATGTTAACCCATTGCTGACATGAACAGCTTTCACTTGCAAAATGGGAAAGACCTAGCTAGGAGGATAAGCCGGGTACAACGATCAAAGGAAAATATAGTTAACTAAGACACTGTCTATAGATGCTGGTGTGGAAGTCCAAGGAAAAGGTTATCTTATGCTCCTGTGCAGAGTCCCAAGTGCATTACAAATATATGGAGGGTGGGATTATTAAGATTGGTTTTGATATAAGACAACTTACCTCATAGTATTAGTTCCTGCTTGGTCCAATTCCGCAATGATTGAAAGTTATAAGTTTGTTGTATCAGTCCCCTAACTGAACTACTGATTACAATTGGGTATTCCACCTTCCCTTCAGGAGTGGGTTTTTTTCAGAATATAGGTAAGAAGTATGGGACTGGGGTAGGCCAATGTGGAGAAGTTGGACCTGAGGCTAGCCTGTACGTGTTTAGAAAACCGGACTTTGTCTCTCTAAGGTTCCAACTTCACACCATTTACAAGTGATACTTTCACTTACAGGGCTCAGTTGTGAACCAGGCCTTAAGCTGTCTCTCTCTACAGTTTTGGTAAAACTATTTCCAACTAAAAAATTCTCTCCTTCCATCACTCATCCCCAATGCTGAAACACTTAGGCTAGAGAAGAATATGCTCCATTTGACACAAAGTTTATTGTACTTAATCTCCTTCTTTGCTGCTATATACAGTAGAGAAAGATAGGACAGGCAAGGAAAACTGAATATTAATGTAAGTTTTTATTTGCTCTAGAACAGTAATATTCCAGGTAAAGCAACCCTTACAAATCATCACTTTCACATTAAAAAAAACCCCATTAGGAAGTACTTGTCCAGATAGAAATATTTGGATGTAACAAGCGTGGGAACTTTTTTGACCCATTTATGACAATTTACACACTGGCTTTGTATCACTAGCTCCTGAACATGATTGGGTTAGTACAAATGTGTACTCAAGTACCAAACTAAATCCATATATATGGATAGGGGCAACAAATGTTTTAAGTGGCTTCCTCTGATGACAGATGATTTATTGTCATGATGATACTACCACTGGGGAGAAAACACCCCAACACTCTCCTGGCTCTGTACGTAAAGGGACTGCTCTGGTTAAATTTGGCTGCTTCATACCAGCCTAAGGACTCTACATGTTAATAGCTGCTGGCTTGTTTTGAAAAGGCCAGGCTGCATTGCTGCAAATACTTACTGGCTGCATCATTTCTTTAAGACGTAGAACTCCCAAAAAGGATTTTGAACCCACATGGAGTTGCTTTGCAGCCATAACAAGCAAGGGTGTTCTAGCCTGGAAGCCCGTTGTAGAACAACAGGACCAAGTTAAGACTAGGTCCTGGCAACTAGTAAGGGCATTCCTAAAAAGGCTGCCTGCAGGCCAGGGCCATCAAGAAAATCTGTGACACAGACTGCTCTCCAACTTAATGTCTTCATGCTAGAAGGTATTTTGAAATAAGCTGAGGCAAAACACAATTTTAAAAACATAGTTTAACTTGCACTTAACTATACAAACCAGAGAGATTTTACAAAAAAAAAAAGCTTGAACAAAAAGAAGCATTTGGGACAGTACAACTGAAGAACAAATGTCAGTGTTATCTTCATGTTTGGTTAAAAAAAAAAATTTCATATGCATCCACACACACACACACACACACACACACACACACACTCTGACAAACTTCCTCATGTGCTTGGGCTGTTGAAGTTAAAATTGCGAGAGTGAGACATTATTCAAGACGAGATTCCACCTCAGTTTGCTTTTCAGATAGCTTCCTACTAATGAGTTATGTCTGCTTCTCCAAGAGTTCAAGACAAAAATTCCATCCTTATGTTCTCCTTCATAGTGGTTTCCAGGCAACAACTACCAGTTCTTCCCTGGTAATGCAAGAGGTTAGACAGCTCTGTAATGAGTACTTCGGAAGAAAAGCTCTTCTCTTAGTATTTCACATATATGGAAATCCATCACTCCCTGCCCTTCATGAATGGCTCTAATGTACAACAGACACAAGTACAAATGTACCTTTCCAATTGGACCGGCAAAACAGAAATATAGTAACTACCAAGAGGTAGAAATAATTAGGCAGCTTTATCACTCTGAGAGGTGTAAAGTTTATCTCCTAATCAGAATATATTTGCCAAGGTTTTTTTCTCTTTCTTTCTTTTTTACAAAGGACAAGGTAGGATATTTCACAATGATGCAACTACTTTATGTTCACAGCATTAATGCAAAAAAGCCTTTGTTTTTGGCAAGGAAGAGGGTAGGAGAGGGGTGAGTGAGTAGCTCCTGACATTTCATTACTATATGTTTGCCGTCACTGAGTTCAGAACAAAGCATAGATGCTGCCACGCCATTCATACAAAAGTTATTTGTACCTTCTTAATGATATGTAAAGTGGAACAAAAATATACCTGTATATATTTTACACTAAGAGCAAACTGATCAAAGTGGCATTTAATGTTATTTGTCAAAGTGGTTATCTAACAATAATGGGGTTAACAAAAACCCATTCATTAGTAGTCACCAAATAAGACATTTCTCATGCATATGACAAATTCATTCGTGTATTGACAGAGGTCTGTTTACGGTGTACAATATTTCCATAAGTTATGTTTCACAGCCCCTACCATTCCAGAATATTTCAAACAGATAATATATTATATTTGTATATGCAAACTATTTTATATACACTAATATAAAGATCCTTAGAAGTACCATTATGACTACCTTTATGCTTTCTGTAAAATGCATAGCTTTCAAATATTTTCTTGCAGTTACCAAAAACTTTACAGATTAAAGCTGCTTATCAATGTGGCATGTTCATAAAAACAAAGTGAAATAATCCTATACTAAAATTTTATATTAAACCCCCTAGAAAAACATGTTTATTTTTAATGGAAAAAAACCAAGCTAGTGAAAATTCAAGTAATCTATGCTCAGTATCTGCCCAATATACTCTAATAATTAATGGAGCATTTTAAAAGTATAGTGAACTTCTCAGCCAGGACTGCAGTACTGCATTTCTCATGGAGAAAAATGCTAGTCATGCCACAAAAATGCACTTTCCATTTCATCCTGGAGAAGCTTTAGATGAGATTCAGCACACAAGGGTCAGATGGGAGAAAAACTGTCAGTTGTACATGAAGAAATTAAATCTAGTTCCAGTTTCATTTTTGCAGTTTGTTATTAAACAAGGTTATATTAACCATACAGATTATTGCAAACAGAGTAATATACATGGTCTTTAAAAAGCAACTGACTGAAAACAAATTTACATCATAGACATTTAGGTAAACTGTTAGAATAATCAACCAGGGTGAAGTAAAGCCTACCCATTACAGCAGGTGGGAGCCATTGATAGCTCACTACTGTTTTGTAGGGATTATAAAATAATTGTGCATGGTGAATGCCTCAGTGGCAAAACGATCAGTAGTAAAAATGGGACAGAACCATAGTCTCCTTTTGTTACACCCATCATCTAGCTTATCCTTGGTGTTCTGTATCTCTCTAACTGCTTTATAGACAACTGTCTCCCCAGAAAATAGCTACACAAGTAAACGGTGTTCACAGTAATGCAATGAGTAACAGATTTTGTTAGCTTGTTTCCCTAAGTCATATGTATCTGCAAAGCTTTATACAGTTAAATGCGTAAGTATTCCAGTAAAGTAAGTGAAAACTAAGTTTAATCCTACAGGGTAATAGCTACCATACACGACTAGAGCATCTACGCTATGTGACTGGTATGACATAATTCATATTGTATTGCGTATTGTGATGTTCTGCTATTTCCTCCAAACTGGTCTTTGTTCAGCAGTTCTGCAATAACTCAATACCATTTGCAACAATTCAATGCACTGTTTTACAGGATCTAGCTCTTGATTTGGCAAGATTAGTGCTAAATACTACTGGATATACCAGTACACCGTGCTGTAAAAGTCATACACACAGCAAAACCTTCTATACCCAGATGAAAAAAAAAACAACCCAAAATGATCAGGGCTTCACATGTAAGATAAGAATTATTGTTATAACTTTCCTAACTGGAGTGGGGAAAAAACCAACCAATATTACAGGGGAAGATGAATTCTACATCTCTTGGAACAGATATGGAAAAAGGTTTTACAAACAACTGTTCTGTTCAGCCAAGGCATAAGATGCAAGAATAACTAGCCTTACAAACGACATCCCTTATAGTTAAGAGCCAATCTGCAAGTAGAAAGGCAGATTCTGTACAAAAGCTGACACTCAATCAAGCCTAGAATGGACCTCAATCTCTGGGGATTGCATCACATCCTTTGTTTACAAAAGGCTGTAGTAACCAGCTGACATTGTAACAATGTCTAAGGTGGACATTTATACAGGGAAATAAATCCCTGATCAAAAACCCCAGTTACTAAATATAATGCAACGCCTGCTTTGAAGAGGCCATTCTGGTCTTTCTTGAAATTAAAAAGAAACTTATTTCCAGCAATACTTTTTTTGTAAAAAGGTGGGTCACTGATCCATTGCAAACATAACTCTCACCATATAAAGCACCAGAGTCAGAAACAAGTCCTTAAATTATGATTTACAAGTTTATACACTATTTCCTAGGCAAGACATTGACCTTAAGTTACGTTTATAGATGAAAATTGGCCAGTAGTTAGTTTTAAGGGGAATACACGTCTGCCTATAACTTAAAGTAGAAAATATTCACTGCTCTATATACATTTCAAATGGGAGACAGTTAAACTTAACTGAATTGTTGCCAATATAACTGGTTGGCCACTAAACTAAGCATCAGTAGCCAACTAGAATCCTCGAGTACTGTACTCTTAAAAATGTTGTTTCTGTTCTTGTTTAGTTGGTTTTTAAAATATGTATTATAGTGCATAGCCTAAATCAGACTTTCCAAGAGATACAGTGCCTTTCAATGCAGTTTTGCAGCATTTAAAAGGGATTCTCCCTTTAAATAAGATGTTCATTGGAAAAAAAAAATCTGAATTGAGTGCTGTACTGTAGTAAAAATATTTCAGTCACAGACTGATATAAAGTATACTGTGCAGAACTTAAACTGCTTGGTGTCCATCTGCACACATTTACTTGGGTTCTTCAATTGTCCCCTTGCTGAGGTCTGTCATTTTGGGATATTTGACTTTCTTCTGGTCCAGCTCATTCTGCGCCCACAGTAGTAATTTCAGTAATTTGGCCAACTTGGGTGTAGATTCACGGTTTTCATAGTCTAGAACAGCTTGGTTAACTTCACTCCATACCTGGAAAAGAAATACTGAATTTAGTAGTAATTCTCTAGATTAATTGAGAGAGAATGCCCAAAGTACAAAGTGCTGCTCTCATGATCTCACTCTGTGTGGCTTTTGAGTTCCAATCAACA